GATTTCTCACTCATGCTTCTACTGCTTCAGCTGGGGCCCAGGGTCATGGCACCTGTTCGGAATGTACCTCACTCGGACAGGACAGCCACTGTCTTGAGCGATGCTGGTCATTGCAGCTGGAGTGAAGAAAGCTCTGGGGGCTTTCCCACTGGGAATTAAATATTTTGGTTCAGAGATTACATGCATCACTTCTGCTTACAATTTACTGGCCAGAACTACTTGCCTGGTGCCCCCCAGCCACAAGTGGGCTAGAGAGTATAATTTCCCATGGTTCTGAAAGGCAGAGGGCTGGAGACATTTGGAAAACAGCACTAAGGACTATCGCAGGAAAGGAATGGGATGAAGCAGCAGACTGTGAGTGTATGATACTAACAAGCTCTCTTGGGATCCTCCATGAAAGATGAGGAGTTCCTTCTAGATTTACTTCTTGGCATGGATAGTCATTTCCTAAGGCCATCGATCTGCGTGGCACAGATGTCTAATGCATTTCTTTTCCAATATACAGCTTCACTCAAGTTAAAGCTGTTAGATTTTTCTCTAGTGAATTCTGGAGCAGCAACATCATCACCATCACCACTTTGTAATTGACATCATCGCCATCATCAAAATGTGATTAAGCATCTAATTATAAGTGGTGCTCATCTATAGGGTATGTCTTTGCATTTGTCCTCCCCCCATCCACTTGGTCACAGGGAAGTCCAGGAGGAGGGACATGGTCACAGTGCTCCCAAAGACTAAATTAATAGAAAGGGACTCTAGGCTGAAGAGTCATGCTGTCAAGTGTCTGCATGGCATATTGATTGGTTTGTAGGACCAGCAGGTGCCACGTGGTCCTGCTAGTGGTGGGATGTGGTGTTTGGTCAGAGGAGCTTCCACATGGGACACCCTGAACTGCTGAAGGACACAGGCAGTGAGCCTTGCTTGCCCAGACGTGAGACAGGCAGAGGAGGGACACAGCTCTGACTCCTCACCTCTATTTCCAGCGGGCTTTGAGGGGTGAGTCTTCTTAGGGAGGGTGTGTTCACACGTGTTTGCTCAGTAGGAGGAGACGGGGCTGACCACTAGCCACCCCTTCCTAACAGCAGGGTTCTATGGGCGACAGGGCAGTGGAAAGAACCACTCCCAGAAATCACTCAGAGAAACAAGCCTAAATCTAGACCACCATTCTCCCTTCCCCGAGGAAAACTACATGGATGCTACCACCACAGTCGTGATAAATGCATACACACAGCGCAAGTAGAAAATGTAATAAAAAGCCTGGATGATAGACTAGAATGATCATTTGTATGGCTGGGATAAGTACATTTTAGAGTTTGTGGTAGAGGTAGGAACATAAATGGCTATCAAATTATGTGCTGCATTATCTGTGCCCATCTCGTTTGGCACATACGTCCATTTTTAGGTGGTTCTTCCCCACGGATGCACTTTTCTTCTCACCATGTGCTCCTGATCTGATGTGGATGGTGTGTTCCACTGGAAGGCCAGCATGGTCCTGGGAGGATGGGACTCCCTGGGGTCTGGTCCCAGTTGTTGGTTCCCAGGACAGCCCCTTCTCTTGGCTTTCCTTCGACCCCACTGACAACCCCTCAGCTTCCTTTGCTGGCTCCTCTTCCTCCTGAACCTGAATGATAATTGAAAGACTTGGTCCAGTTTGTGTCTCTTCATTGTCCATATTCTGTCTCTCCAGAAGACTTAAGTGCCATTTAATATTTAAATTTTTCTAAATGTTTTAAATATTAAGGATTTAAATATTTAAATATTAAGGATTTAAATATTTCTAAATGTTTTCAGTTTATAAATCACAAATTTCTCTTCCATATTCCAGGCCTGAATAAACATCTGCTTCCTTGGCGTCTTTATTTGCATGTCTGATCTGCCTCCCCAATTTAATATGTCTAAAAGTGAAGTCTGGATTGATCCCGACTTCTTTAACCCCTAATCTTCACTTTCTTAATAAACCTACTTAGGTGCTCAAACAAAAAACATGGCATTCATTGCTTATTTCTCATGTCCTATTGATTACCAATTCCTGCTGATCTATCTCCTAAACATATCTTTCCAATCCTCCAGGCTCCTCCCCACTCTCTCTCTCCACCCGCTACCTTTCCCTTGTTGACGTCACCATTGGCTTTTCCCCAGGCTACTGCAGTTTCCTGGTCGTTCTATTTTTCCTTCTGCCTGTTCCTAATTCATTGCCCTCACAGCCTCTGTGTAGATCACATCACGAGTCTCCTCTGCTGGAGAACCATCTTGGGCTTCACATCAACCTTGAGATAAAACCTGAACGCCTCACCCTGCAAGGTCTCGCCCTGCTTCTCCTTCAGCGTCATGGTGTACTGCTCCCCCTCTTGCCCATTTTTCTGCCAGCACACAGATTTTTTTATGACGCTTGGACACCCATGACCCTTCTGGCTCAGAGCTTTTATGCTTTCCAGTCCAGAAGCTCTTCCTCTGCTTTTAGTATAGTTGGCCCCATTCTCAACTTTTGATTCTCAGTTGAGCCTCTTTGGAGGGAACTTTTCCAACCACCCTCTTCGGAGTTGAATCTCCAGTTTCATTTCTGACACAGTGTCCCATTTATTCTCCTCAAAGCATTTGCTACAATATGTAAATAGCTTCTTTGTTGTTTACTGTCGAAAGGTTCTGTCTAGAATGTGATGTATTTATTGTATGAAAACGTAAGCTTATAAGAGCAGATATTTTGTCTAGATCACTCAGCACCTGGCATCAGGCTGGCACCCAGTAGGTGCTCAATAAATACTTGTTAAATAAATGAATGATCCCTATGACCACTGCAAACATCTGATGCTAGATACAACAAGAAAAAAAGAGTCTGTGCTGGCATGAAAGGATCACCTTGTCACTGGAAGACGTTTTGCAGTGTCTATGGATAAAGTTGTGCCTCTTGTCTTCTTTCACCTGGGAACTGGCACTTCCAAAGGTGTGACTTTACTCAGCCTTAATATATGCTTGGGAGGAATGCTCTAGACATAGGGTTTTTCTTAAACATTCTATTTCACAAAAGAACTAAAAACAGAACTCTGATTCATGAATTTGCTAATGGCTTTTCCCTCCCAGAGGAACTCCCCAGGCACAGTGAAAGCTCTCTTGGGGCGTAGCCTCGTGCCTAATGTGAAGGTAACCATGGGACAGCAGCTCTTCCTGTGGGGTGACGGGCAGCACTGGCCAGGCTTGCCCAGGGGGTACTCACATGGAGGTTCCTGCCACTGTAGCAGGCTGTGCACCCTTGTGGCAGAATGTGGTTCCTTCCCTTGCTTCTCTAAGGTTTGTTTTGAGGATTTACTGACCTAGTTGACTATCTTATGAATAAAAATGGCAATGACGAAAACAAACATGCAAATGAGTAATTCATTATAAATTTTGGAAACAAAATAAAAAAGAATTTCTTGTTGTTTTCCTTTTCTTCTCTTAAATTTTTTTTTGAATGGAGCGACTTTTGCACAAAGTCTAAATTGCTTAACTGTGTAGCCCGTAAATGGGAAGCGACTGGTGGGTAACTCCATACTCCTGCTCTCTCTCCCTTCACTGAAACTCGCAAGGCGAGAGAAGGGAGTGGGAGCCCACAGTCCCCGCACACAAAGGAGCAGAGGCTGTTGTTCGGCAGGGCTTGGTGAGGAACAAGCCTAGAGAGTGAGGATGCAGTGAGTGCTAACACTAGCATCTTCCCTACCTGCTCAACACCTGACCTCCCCACACAGCGGCAGCCTCACTTCTCTCCTCCCCCAGCCCCCGGGGAGTGAACGCGGCTGAGCACCACTGTGGTTTAAAAACACTTTGTGCCATACAAACAACTTTTAGATGCATCTTGTGGTTTGAGAGTACCTTTATGTGTCATTCTTATGGTCCTCCATGAGCTCTTACTAATGATTTCATATGCACAAGAAGCCACACAAACACTCTTTGTAGTTGTTGTGAGCAGATTTATTTTGGCCACAGCCAGCCAGAAAAGGAGGAAACTGAGGCACAGAGAAGCAAATGTCTACCCTATCTGGAAGTGGCAGAGTGAAAAGATCAGTTGAGCCCTCCCTCACCAGACCCCAACCTGTCTGATCTAGTGAAGAAAAGCTATGTGGTCTCTGGCAGAAATGGATGGAAAAATCTTTCTTACCTCCTTCCTCTTGGACCGTTAGAGAAAGAGAAAACTGGTCTCTAAGAACAAACTTTGCCTAACGCAAATATTGCCAAACGGGTCTTCACTGTATCACGGTCTCGGAGCAGAGGCCATCTTTCCGGTAAAAGCGCCTAGAATATGGCTGGTACAAGTTAGATGCTCAGTAAATGTAGCTTTTTTGTTTGTTTGTTTGTTTTAAATAAAAACGCTCACATACCCCCTTTCCACTCACCCTCTCCTCCCTTTTCTTGGCTGCCGCTATAAGCAGAAATTCCACATGCCTCCCAGGGTGGCTGGGAGCAAGGGATTCTCGGGTGCCTGAGCTACCCTGGGCTGTGACACGCCTAAGATGCCACCGTCTTCCGGCTCTTTCCTGCCTCATGTCCCCAGGACTCTCCTGGAAAAGGACTCATGGGAAGGGCAATGATGGACTTCCCAGCCCTTTCTCTGTTACCTCTCTGCAATGCTAGAAGAGTCGAAGCCCCCCTTGGAGGTTCGGGGTTGGAGATTCTGTGGGAGAATTACATTGGAATACAATTTAAATTGAAAGCTTTCAAGACATCTCGAAAATACGTCCTCTATTTTTTTCCAGTAGACATTGGAGAGGCTAGCGAATGGGTCTTTGTAAATACAGAGGAATCAAATATGGTATAATTTTTCCCTTACATTTCTGGATGAGTGTAGGGGGCGGGGTGCGTCCTCCTATTGATGAAATACACTGCGCAGGTCAACTCGGTGAACCGACAGGAGGAAGGCGATCGCCGGCGGGGTGGCGGGGTGGCGGGGGTGTGGCGGGGGTCCCGGCGGTGGGGCCGTGGATGTGCGTGTGTGAAGGCGAGAGGCGTGCCAGGAGAGCGCGGGAAAGCCTGCTGGGGAGGCGAGTGCCTGCCTATTCCCCCCGCGCCCCGGCTCGCGCAGCCCCCGGCCGGGCGAGGGGTGTGATGTGGGAGTGGGGTGGGAGGGGGCAGCGGGCGGGGCCTGCCACGTCACTTGGAGAGTGTTGGGAAGGAAGGGCAGAGCGGAGAGGCGAGTCGCTGCAGCTGCGGCGGCTGCAGCGAAGGCTTTAGCCGCGGGGAGGTGGGTCCCCGCGCTCCGGCGCTGGGGCAGCCCCAGGCCCGCTCCGAGGCCTGCGGCGCGGCTCCTAGCGAGGAGGTGACGGCTGTGGCGGCTGGAACCGCGACCTTGGCCAGACAGAGCCCCGCGGTGGACGTAGGGCGGAGGCCGAGCCCCGCCAGGAGCCTCTGCCGAGCCGGAGGGAGGCGCATCTGGCGCCTCGGGACCAGCGGCAGCGGGGGTCGTGAGCCGCTGGAGGAGCGCGGTGGGCGCCGGGCGAGGAGAGCCGGCGGGTCTGGAGGGCGGAACCCCGCGCCCCGGAGCCCAGTCTCGGCACGGCTGGGCGAAGCCACGCGTCTTCCCGGGCGGCCAGTTTCACGCGCGCCAGTTTGTGGCTCCGGGCATCCCAGTGAGCTGTAGCACCGAGGCGCGGGCGACTGGAAGCGCAGAGCCAAATCCTTGGCGCCCAGGTCACCTCCCCAGACGCAGCCTTGCTGGGACCAGGAATTCAGGGCTCAGCGACCCCAGCGCCAGGTCAGACCGCGAGCCCCACCCTAAGGAGAGGGCGCAGCCGGGAGCGGGGAACGGGCGCCGCGCTCCAGGCTGCAGGTTGTGTCGTGGGCGCCGTCCTAGTGGCGGGGAGCGCGCCGCGGCGGGGGCATGAGATCGGAGAAATCCCTTACGCTGGCGGCGCCGGGGGAGGTCCGTGGGCCGGAGGGGGAGCAACAGGATGCGGGAGACTTCCCGGAGGCCGGAGGGGGCGGGGGCTGCTGTAGTAGCGAGCGTCTGGTGATCAATATCTCCGGGCTGCGCTTTGAGACGCAGTTGCGCACCCTGTCGCTGTTCCCCGACACGCTGCTCGGAGACCCTGGCCGCCGAGTCCGCTTCTTCGACCCGCTGAGGAACGAGTACTTCTTCGACCGCAACCGGCCCAGCTTCGACGCCATCCTCTACTACTACCAGTCGGGGGGCCGGCTGCGGAGGCCGGTCAACGTGCCCCTGGACATCTTCCTGGAGGAGATCCGCTTCTACCAGCTGGGCGACGAGGCCCTGGCCGCCTTCCGGGAGGACGAGGGCTGCCTGCCCGAAGGTGGCGAGGACGAGAAGCCCCTGCCGTCCCAGCCCTTCCAGCGCCAGGTCTGGCTGCTCTTCGAGTACCCGGAGAGCTCCGGGCCCGCCAGGGGCATCGCCATCGTCTCCGTGTTGGTCATTCTCATCTCCATCGTCATCTTTTGCCTGGAGACCCTGCCCCAGTTCCGTGCAGATGGTCGAGGTGGAAGCAATGGTGATGGTGTGAGCCGAGTCTCCCCAGTTTCTAGGGGGAGTCAGGAGGAAGACGAGGATGAAGACGATTCCTATACATTTCATCCTGGCATCACCCCTGGGGGAATGGGGACAGGAGGCTCATCCTCACTCAGTACTCTTGGGGGCTCCTTCTTTACAGACCCCTTCTTTCTGGTGGAGACTCTGTGCATTGTTTGGTTCACTTTTGAGCTCCTGGTGCGCTTCTCTGCCTGCCCCAGCAAGCCAGCCTTTTTCCGCAACATCATGAATATCATTGACTTGGTGGCCATCTTCCCCTACTTCATCACCCTGGGCACCGAGCTGGTGCAGCAACAGGAGCAGCAGCCAGCCAGCGGAGGGGGCGGCCAGAACGGGCAGCAGGCCATGTCCCTGGCCATCCTCAGAGTGATCCGCCTGGTCCGGGTGTTCCGCATCTTCAAGCTCTCCCGCCACTCCAAGGGGCTGCAGATCCTGGGCAAGACCTTGCAGGCCTCCATGAGGGAGCTGGGGCTGCTCATCTTCTTCCTCTTCATCGGGGTCATCCTCTTCTCCAGTGCCGTCTACTTCGCAGAGGCTGATGATGATGATTCACTCTTTCCCAGCATCCCGGATGCCTTCTGGTGGGCAGTGGTCACAATGACCACGGTAGGTTATGGGGACATGTACCCAATGACAGTGGGGGGCAAGATCGTGGGCTCGCTGTGTGCCATCGCCGGGGTCCTCACCATTGCCCTGCCTGTGCCCGTCATCGTCTCCAACTTCAACTACTTCTACCACCGCGAGACAGAGCAGGAGGAGCAGGGTCAGTATACCCATGTCACTTGTGGGCAGCCTGCACCGGACCTAAAGGTGACTGACAATGGCCTTGGCAAGCCTGACTTCTCCGAGGCCCCGCGGGAACGGAGACCCAGCTACCTTCCCACTCCACATCGGGCGTATGCAGAGAAGAGGATGCTCACCGAGGTTTGAGCGATGCAGGCAGGGTCTGCAGGAGAAGCGGAGCACTGAACGATCTCTTAGGCTTCCTTCTCATTCTCACGACTCCCACCCTAGCTTCAGTTGACTTCTTGACTCCCTCCCCTACACCCATTACCTGCCATCCAGGACCGAACACCTGGACTGTCAACTTTGTGGCTTGATCCCTGCAGCATTCAAGGTTTCTCCATCTAACTGACATTTTTTGAAATTCCAACGGTGCCACCAATCATGCCCATCTTCTGTCACATGGATGAGATATACATTTCTGTCTATCTTTCCTCGAGACTCTGATTTTTCACATCCCGGACTTTGTAATATCTTTTGGGAACAGCAACGTCAACAGAATGGAAACCAGCCATATCTGGGTCCTATCTCTGTCCTTAGTGTCCTCTTCTTTGGGTCATGCACCTCTCTTAGCTTCTGGCCACTTGGTAACTGGCAGAAGGTGGAGGACGGAAGCAGTACTCACCTGGGTATTTTATTCCAGTGCCCTGTAACACCTGTTGGGTCCTACAGAGGACCTGTGGTAGAGCCTTTATTTGCACCACCTCAAAATAGGTTATTCATTTCTAATCTTGGATGGAACTAGAGAAAAAGCAATCAAATTTGACCATCTGGAGGACATGAAGGTCAGTCCCAGACCGGGGCGGGGGGCGATGGATTCTTCCAGGTGTGTTCCAGCACGAGACACTGGCCTTTGGTGTACATTTAGTCCTTCCCACTCTGACCCCCAGACCCTCTCTAGCCTCCAGGAAGGCTCCTTCTCAGAGCCAAATGCTCTTTCTGTGCAAGTGCCTTCCTGTGTAGAGGAACCGGGAAAAGGGAACCGCAGAACCAGGAGAAACGGCTGAATAGAGTCAAGCAAGTGGCTTGACCACAAGTCTGAAGCAAGGTGCCACTTAAACAGATGCTGTCATCCAGCAGGGGCAGAGGGATCCTGTTGCAGAGGCAGCTTTTTCTCCCTCATTTTCCCCAGCCCTCTCGAGCCCTCTACCCTGCTTCCTGAGAATTCGACTTAGGATTGCAATTGAAGGCATTTTAAAGCAAACTCCACCTTAAACCCACAGACAGGTAAAAGCGTAATTGGATGCCAGCATGGGTTTCTTCCCATTTTATGGGCAGTGAAATTCGTGGTTTAGAGTAAGGAGCAAGCATCACTCCTTTGCCGACGGCCTCACCGTGACAGGGTTTTTGCTGAGTCAAGCAAACACTTGCCTGTTTTACCCCTGGGAGCTGCATCTGACCTGCCCTCACTGGTAAGATAGAGTGGTGGTGTTCCCACCGGGCTAAACCCCCTTCTTCTATTAGGAAACCGCTGCTGTCCACCACCTGCCGCCTCCCCTCCTTTCTCTCCCAGGAACATTGCCATTCATTTTTGCCTTTGATAAACTGTGATGTACTGTTCTGAGCTCTTCTGGGTGCAGTTCTGAAACCAAAAGGACTGTTAACATGTTTTTAATGTTATACCTATGCTTTACGACTCTTGGATGAGAATTTTTTTTAAAGAATTATTTTGTCAAAGAGCAACTTACAAGGGGATAGCCTTTTGAGGGTTTGCTTGAGAGGCAGTGTGGCTCCTACCAGTGCCAGATCTAAATCTGGATTTTGCCACAGCTTTATAGGGTAACTTTGGCACCATAGTCCCTATTTGTGCCTCAGTTTTCCCACCCATTAAATGGGAGCACTAAAGTCTTCCCCTCCCTACCTTATGGGGACTGTCAATGAACTCATCTGGGAAGCTGGAGATAATGCTATGCAAATGCATGAACTTTGGTAAAGAATTTGATTTTTCGTTCATTACCCTGTCTCTCTATCCCCCCAGGCAAGACCTCTTCCCAGAGTTCTTGCCTTGGGTTCAAAGCCCAAGAATAGGCCATTATGGACTATTAGCTCCCCAAAGCCCTCCTTGGCCTCTTGGACTGAGCCTCAGTCCTTCTTCTTACCCTTCAGAAAGGAGGGTGCTCTTTAGATATGTTCAGCTGGATCCTTCCAGGGCTGGAGGTCACCTTGACTGGGAACTTGGCTTCTCCAAACCTGAAATACAATGGGAAATAGAGGTGTTTATGATTAAGAAACCTGCTCTGAGGCCAGTACTAGTTTTCCAAATATCTTCAGTTACTGCTGGCTATTTGGGAAAAGAAGAGATGAGCCCATTCCAGAGGCAAAAGGAGTGTTCCCAGCTGAGAGTAAAAGTTGGGACACATGTGCATGTATCTCTGTATGTGTGTATGTGATCATCCTCATCACCATCCCTGAGAACACCTTTCCTTTTCAAGTCAGAGCATGCCTGAAAGTAAAGGGTTTGTGAAGAGCCAAGCTCTCCAGGGACTCTAGTTGCCGTAGCAACCTTCCGGAGTGTTCTCCCCATCTTCTGATTTGGGCATCAAGGGAAAACAGGGGACCACATATTCCCAGCTTCTCTAATGGCTGCACTTCCCACATATTGGATCCGGGGCTGGTAGTGCCAGGACAGGGACAGGGACCTTTGGAAAATGTGGAGGAAGCAGGTCCCCCAAACTTCCTCCCTGGACCTTTCTTCCTGATTTCCCCACCAGTCATCAAAGCTGCGCGTCTTACTCCCGACTCTTCAGATACTTGAGTGCTAAGCGGCTGCCAGTTAAACCAACATCAAAATTGTTTTTCAAAATGACAAGGGGAGTCTTTGGGGAGGACGATTCATGCCTCGAGAGGCAGCCAGGCTGTGCTGCCCAGAGTCATAGTGGTCTTAGGTGTTGTGGAGCTCTCATCTCCTGGGGGGAGGCTCTTCCCAGCTCAAGGAGAGACAGAAATGCAACTCCTTCCTCCCGAGAACACTCTAGCTCCCGGGAGGAATCTCACAGGCGGTTCCTTGTAAGACGCTGAAGAGAAACCGAGAGGCTGTGGCTCGACCTAGTTTCTGTGAAGGATTCTGTCAAGGGATCCCTCTCCGACCCTGAGCCCCTGCACGTGGACGCTGCGCCGAGCCGGGAGAGAGTGTGCGCCGTGTGTTCTGGACAGCCAGGCGGCGACTCACAGCTGCCAGGGACGGTGGGGTCCAAGCCCTGGCCCCCCTGGCTCAAGCCAGCAGGAGCTCCTCCCAAGGGACTTCCTGGAGCTGTGGCCTCAGCCTGAGATGCGGGACACTCCTCCTGCCTGTGCGTCCCCGGGGAGTGAGGAGGGACAGCCGGCCGCCTGGCGTCTGAGGTAGGTTGTACTGGAGGGAAATTTCATTCCTGGCTTAGTCCTTCAGGCAAAATGAGAACTCTGGGTGGGAGAGGAGGCGGGAGAGCCTGTATTTGGACAGAGACAAGGTTTTGATTTTCTTTCCTCAGTGGCCTCCTCACTTTTCTCTGTGTATTTTTCTTTTCTGCTTCGACTTCAGTTTCCTTTTTCTGTTTCCACCCCTTTAATGCTGCTGCCCCCTTTGTCAGTCACCCCTTTTCCTGTGCATGTTTCCCCTTGCTTTCATTCTCACTTTCCCTGACTTTTTATCTTTTCTTGGTTTTTTCCCTTCTGGTTCCTCCCCCGCCCTGCCCCTGTTGCCTTAACCTCTTATTGCTTCTGTGTGTATCTTCCTGGCTCTTTCTCCCTCTCTCCACCTTTCTGGTGGTTGAAGCACCTAGCACGGCTGCCCGGGTCACACAGTGAACCCCAGGACAGCTGTGGTGCAGCCCGTGTGCTGCGGAGGTCGGGCTGCAGCTCGGGGCCCCTTTGTCGGACACCTCACTGTACCTTCCTTTCCCACCACGGACTCTGCAGGGGGAACCCACCACGCAGGATGAGACTGCTATGGGTTTAGAAAAATGTCTCCCAGAAATTTCCTGAGCCTGTGAGGATAAAAGAGAGAAGGGTGGGGAGAAGAGAATAAACCCAAGAGGTCTCAGATAAATGTCCTGCCAAATAGCCCTGCAGTGTGCCCACCTGAGGGCCCCCAACCTTATGGGCCTTGCAGATAGGTCAAAGAAAAGAAACAATAGAAATAGGAAAATAAACAGAGAAAAAGGGACTTAGGATGAAGAAATGAGATTGGAGTTAGTCTGGAAAAAGCCTTAACTCAGGGATGGCCTTATAATTGCCCTAATCCACTCAAAGGTTAGCATCTGGCTGGCTGTCTTGTTTGTCTGAAGGCAAAACAAAAAGAAAGGACATAAACCTCGGAGGTGCGAGGTGCAGGGGATGACACACTTTGACAAGGTGGACTAACATTCACCAGCCAGGCCATAAGGAGAGTTTGTGGACTTTCTTTGCTGGAGGTCTTAGAACACAGGGTCAATCCTGTCTGCATCAGGACACCAGGATGGCCCAAGGGGCCCCCAAGGGCTGAAGACTGTGCTAGCAAAACTGGCACCAGAGAACATTCGGGGGTTATGGAAAAGTTCTGAAACAGAATTGTGGTGATAATCATACTATAAAAATTAACCAAAAAAACCCATTGAATTGTGAAAAAAAGTGACATGAGTCTAATAACCTAGGAGTTTTACATTTTGGCTGGGAGAATGGTTTGGTTTTATAAATCTACAAGTTTAGCATCTCTAAAGATGGATATCTGGAATGGAATGACAGTTTTTTTATTCTGCCACATGGGGACACTTTCGAGCTTATATGCAGTTGCTCCTTGCTATTCATGCATAATAGCAAGGAGCATGTGTGTGTGTGTGTGTGTGTGTGTGTGTGTGTGTGTGTGCCTGTGTGTGTGTATGTTTAATTTTGACATCAACTGTTGTGGCATTTACATCTTTTTTTGCTCTAAAGGTATGTCAAGCCATTTTTTAGTAGTGTAGGGCATAATTAGCATGTATTGAACTATGATAAATATGTTGGATGTTATTCATTATGTAGGACTAAGGCAGTGAGCTTGTCCAAAGAACTTATACTTTGCCAGCAAAAAAAAGAAATATTTTAAAAATAAAAACAATCCCTACAAATAAACCCAAACCTCACCTGATCCCCGTACCTGCAAACTTGGAATTCCTTAAGAAATTGCATAGGAGCCAAGGTTTTATTTTTCCTAACCCCTTCCCCACACTCTTCCCTATAGTAGTCATTAACTCTTAATAAGCCATTAACCCTTAATAATCTATGATGAGGTCCCACCAGTCTTTGGTGCTTTGGGCAGACAAAAGAAGTGGGAGGTGAGAGCCTTCATTTATCGTGCTTGGCCTGCTGCACTGCTATTTTTCAGACTTTGTTCTCTTGCCTTATTCGCCCTGTGCTCACAGCTTCCCTGCCTTCTCTCCCCTCGGTGCATCTTCCTGTCCTGCGGCTTGTCATTTCTCCCGGCCACTGCCTGAGCCTTTGCTCTCGGTGGCATTTCTGTCCCCCTGCAACTAGACATACATTCCAAGGTAGATTCCCAGAGAATGTTGTCCTCCCAGGACAGTCTGGCTGGACTGCCCTCCCGGCTCGGCCTGGTTTCCTCTGTGTGCTATTGCCATGGGAAGGACAGTGTGCTCTAATTCTAGCTTGTCACAGTCACTCAGGGGAGGGAAAGAAATCCATTTATTAAGCCGTAAGATTTCCTCTTTCCACTCCACTTTCTACAGGCTGCCTGGGGTTGCACAGATCGCTCCTGGCAGAATAAGGTCTGGGGTTGGCGGTGGTGGGAGAGGGATCTTCCCAGACACGGGCCCCTGGGAAAATAGACAGATGGGTTTTCAGGTTGCCAGGTCTCCCGATGAACCACTTTCCTGTTCTGGGCTTGAGGTCCCTGTGGAGTTGGAGATTGTCATTTTTTCATGTCCCTTTGCTCTGAACTTGAGAAAGTAGTTCACCCAGCCTCTTTGTCCCTTCTTGGTCCTTGTCCCTTGCCCCACATGGTACCCTAAAGGGGGAGTGGGAACCTGTCTGCAACCACTGTGGAAGGGTTATCCCAATAGGATAGCGGCTCCCTCATTCTCAGAACAAAGGAGGAAAAGGGTCCTGTGCTCCCTAAGTGTCACTAACACAGGTCTAACCTTGGCTATCACTTGACGTGGTTGGGGTCTAGCCTGCTGGGGCTTATGACAATTAAAAAAAAAAACACAACTGCATCCTCATTGTTACGTGAGCCCTGCACATATGCTGGAAACCCTTTTGGAACCGTAAGCAGTGTCTGCCGCAGGCTGCAAGGAGCGCAGACAGACCCTGGCTCTTTGGTGAGAGCACAGCCGACATTTCAAAAGGAAATTGCAGCCACGCAGTCTGCTGGCGCTGCTATTTTTGACATGCTTGCTGTTCTCTCAGGGCTTGACAACCGCTGTCTCCAGGAGACAGACAAACCTGCTCTGGCAGCAGAGACACCGCTTTGAAAGAGAGCAGAGGAGACAGTCCCGCAGCTGGGAGGGGCAGGAGGACGTGCCATCGGAAGCTCGGCACCTGGCCGGCTCGGCCTGGGATCTAAGGCTCCAGGATCGATCCTCCCTCGCCCAGTGAATCCTGATCCCGCTTTGCATCCTCCCCAGCGAGCGTAGTTCTAACAAGAACAAGACGGGCACTGTTCATTTACAGAGTGTTTTCACATGCGTTCGGGGCTTTCAGGCATCATGCTGTGAACAAAGTGGTTCAGAGCATGGATGCTGGAGCCAGGTTGTAGGGTTCAAATCCCTCCTCTGCTGGTTGACCTTGGGCAAGTTAGAAAACTGCCTTGTGACTCAGTTTCCTTCTCTATCAAACAGGGGATATTAATAGTACTAATCTTATAGGGCAGTTTTGAGGATTGAGTGAGGTCATACATGCACACTGCGTACAAGGTTGGCTTTTATTATCATTATCATCCTATGGCAATGAAATGAGGTAGGTAAGCTAGGCATTGTGTTCCTTTTGGCAGATACAAAATCGAAGCAAGAGGGGTTGTGAGATGGTCAAGGGCACACGCTGTGTGTGTTCCATCATCTTCAGTGGAGACGGAACAGAACGGCACACAGTGAGGGTCTGAGTGATACTGAGCAAGAAGAGGGAGGGAGGCCTTGGCTCTGGAATGTGCACAGAGGCTTTATTTACATGCCAGGTGTCTCTGTTGTGACAGCAGCAGGTGTCCTCTGCTTTCCTTCCCCGTGAGTCTCTGAAGGCACATGGAGAAGTGTACATACACGGCACCTAAGTATGTATCTCATGTGTATGGAACACCTTCCACAGGGGCCTTCCCTACTGCCATCGCTTTTCTCCTCCCTCTCACATTTTCTAATAACATATTTGGGGTTGACGCTCCACCAGAGCCTTCCTCACATACTTCCTCCCATCTTTCTCCTGGTTCGGCACGAGAGACCGAACCCATGAACTGGACCCAGCCCAGAGTTTTCGTACGCTGTACCAGTGGCTTTCAAACTCCCCCGCCCCGGTCCTCCTCCCCAGCATCCGTTCTGTTGCCCAGCCACCTTCCTGTCCCACTGCGCCCGCACCCCCACGGTGCAAGTGCTGTTCACCATCTCTTGGTGGCGTTCCAGCTTTCCTGTCCTCCATTAAGATGGGAGACCCAGGAGTTGGAAGGAGCCAGCTCCCCTACCCATGTGGGTCTCCGTTTGCCTCCACTCTGACTAAGAGCTTCGATGACAGTTGTCACTGGGGTCCCCACACAGGCCAGAGTATTTTGTGCACCCTCAGCTCACTGCTGTTACCACGATGCCCTCTCACAAGTGGCCGGCCCAGGCAAGGCGACGTGACTGCCCTCACATTTCTGAATCTGCAGCTTCTTGGCTAGCTTGCCTGTGGAGTTAGAGACTGGATCTGAATCACTGTTTATTAATTGTACCTCATTTAACCTCTCCGAGCTTCAGTTTTGTCATCTGCAAAATAAAGAAGCTGATATCACTTGCCTCACATAGTTGTTCTGAGGCTCAAAAGAGGCTGCCAGTTAAAGGGTCTAGCAGGAGATAAGCTCTCAGCAAAGCATGGCTCTTCCCTCTGCCAGTAGCAGAGGGGCCCAGGACACCGAACGCCCACCCGAGAGTGGGGTGGGACCACCTGCATGTCCGAGAGAGGCAGGGTCCCTGCCAAGTTCAGTTCTGTCCTCTGAAACCAACATTTCCATGAAATATGACATAAAAAATAGACTCAGGAGAGCTGTCTATTTTTACCAGAAGGCTTTTTGCCTAGAGGATTCACAGCAGAATTTCTTTAAATAATTGCACTTACGATGTGATTTAATATACGGAAATGTAATCTGAATACATCTTGGAAGAATAGGATGGATATACTGGTAATATTTTTTTTCAATATAGTTCGTTTCCGACCAAACTAGTATAAGGATTGTCGTTTAGCTCTTCCCAGGAGCCCTGAGCATTGTGAAGGGCAGTGTCGAGGGTCACAGATGGGCAGGACGTGAGACCTGGAAGGGGCAATAGATGCCCCTTTTTATGTAGGAGGAAACTGATGCAGAGAACTGAAACGATTAACCCAAAATCACATGGGTGGTTCAGGGCAGAGCTGACTCTGCAACCCAGGTTTTCTGACTTCAACCCTAGCATATTTTTCCATGGAAAATGGAAGACTAAAATATTTTTTAAAAAATTTTAAAGAATAACTTTATTCATTTCCTACCCAACCACACCCCTTAGCAGAGCTGCCCATAGGAAAAGGAATTAAGTGATTTTTAACTTCATCTCTCCTTCCCCTGACTTTCCAAGGTGCAGAGGCAGCAGGCCTAGCTAGGGAAACCCAGAGTCAGATAACAGCTTCTGGACTTTTAAGGCAGGACTAATGCCTGTCACTCTGGTGAGGACCCAGGGCATTCCAGCACTGGACAAAGAGCGGCTCTGGCCTTGGCAGCCAAGCCCTGGGCTTCTAATTGAACCAATTAGTAGATTATTTAACCATTCAAGCCTTTACTTTTTTGTTGTTAAATTTAGTGACTGGCTGAAGGAAACTGTCATAGATTGGAAATCAGGACCGTAGGGGGTTATTTGGGGCTTCTGTATTTCATAGAGGAAGGAAGGAACGCAGAAGGTTAGCAACTTACCCAGGAGTGCTGACTTCAGATGCCCGGGGAAGCAGAAACCAGCTCGAGACTCTCCCCTGCACTTTGTTGCCCTGGTAGAGAAAGAGAAGTTCCTGTTAGGCTGCAGATCTCTTTTATAAATCACAGGCCTAGGGCCAGGCAGAGCGTTTGCAGAAGCCCTGGTAGCTGAGCTATAAATCAGACAGGAGCTGCCCAGCTGCTTTAACGCAATTTGGCATTGCTGGAGAGAGCAGAAGGGCCTGGTGTGGTGGGGAATGGCTTGTGTTCCCTGCAGGAGACTCTGCTTTCTGTGCGTGGGGAGATGATGACTTCCCCCAGGACAGCACACAGGAGCCCAGGCACACCCACACTGCCGTCCTCTCCTCACCTGGAGGCGGCGTGTGTGGTTTTGTTTGCTTCTTCTGCATCTGCAACCTTCTGGCACACAGTCTTCATGCCTGCCGAGACCCCGAAGAGCCCAGAGTGCCTGCTCTAGCGCTGTGCAGACCGCGCCTCACACGAGGCCCTCCGTAGTCGGGCGTGTTTGCCAGACGCACACGACATTAAGTATGGGCAGATTTCACGCAGATGTGGATCTTTGATTTCTTTTGGCAAGCAGGAGGTCTGATCGTGGTGACCCCGAGTGTCTGCTTTCCGCCCGCCAGCAGCAGGAGCTGAGGTGCAGCTGCCCCTCCGGAGGGCAGTGGGTCCCCTTGCCCAGGGCCGGCCACTCCCGGGCGCTCCCCGCCGCCGAGGCTGGAGCATCCGCCGGTGCTCGCTGGGCCCACGGCACGTGCTTCTCACAGGAGGGAAACATTCTCTGTGTACGTCTCTACCAACGGTTGGGAAACAAGAGGCGGACAGGATGTCATGTTTAGGGACGGCAACGCCTGGCTACGTCCTCTGATGAGCCCTGTGGACGCGGGTGCGTGTGGCCAGGCTCCAGAACCTTCCTCTAGGGTCTCGTCTAGGTGACCGAGCGTCGACTCTCTGGTTTAGAAGTGGTGGGGCAGGTCGGATGGGAGTACGCGCTAGAAAAGGCGGTGAAAGCAGCAGTGAAGGCGGCCGGCCGAGAGGAGACGGGTGCAGCCACTAACGAGGCAGAACAGTGAAGCTGCAGGGAGAAGACGGTGTTCTCAGTCGGGTTAAGCAGCAAGGGAGTGTGTGATGCGACTCAGAATTCCCATCCGAAATGATGGCAGTGAGACATCAGGCAAACGTCGGGGTTTGCGGATTTCTGATTTGAGGACTATCTCCAGCTTCCATGAAGTTCCATCATGGGACTCCCGTCCATTCCTGCTGCCTGGGACTGGGGGTCCGAGCAGGGGTTCATACGCAGTGTCGAGTGGTGTCCTGATAGCGCCTGGCTGCCCAGCAGGGCTGTCTGTGCAACGCCACGGGCATCCCCAGATCCCCGCTCGTGTCTCTTCCTCGGTCATTCCCAGCTGGGTTTAGCTCTCAGGTGGCATCTCTTGTCTTTGAGGTTGATTGGCCAGAAGTTAAATGGCCACGGAGTTGGAACTGTGTTCAACATGATTGCTTCAGGAGGGAGATAAGAAAGGCTTTCCTCCTTTCTAGCTTTACCTCTGATTTCGTTAAAACATTTCAGGGCCAGAAATCAAGAGGGGAGTTGCAACAGGGATTTGGGCTACAGTGAGCTCAAAATCCTTAGGATTCCAAGAGTGACATAGATTTCATTCTGGCTGTCTCTCACTGGGGACATCGTTTATTTCTGAAAAGCAGAATTCAAACCCACCCCCAATATTTGCCTTTTCTAAGAGGACAGAAAGGTTAAATTAGGTTGGGAAATCCATCATAAGCCTTACATTTTAATGCCTGTCTGACTCACTTTTCCCAATAGGTACATTTCTGTAAAGTTGTTGTCAGATGTATATGTAATAATAGGTTATTAAGTATGAAATGTCCAATTTCTTTAGGTACTAAGTTTGACAGTCAATGTCTCTAACATTTCAGTTTGACACTTCTTGTTTTATTTTTATTGTGAAGGTACATCCTGAGTCTTTCAAACACATGGTTTGGCTTATGATTATCTTTCAATTTTTTTAGAGTAATTTTTGTGAAACCATAGATAAGTCAAAAATTTGTGTTATTTTCTAATATGAGTTCCGTCGTGGAACCAATGCAGCACAGACAACTTGAAATTATCAACAAAGTGTTTGGGAAGGATGTGGCTAATAAATGCACAGCAGGTCGATGGTTTGAGAAGTTCCATTCTCGTGATTGTAATGTTGAAAGTGAGCCACGTGGGTGACCTGAGACCAAGGTGGACAATGATGAGCTAAAGCTGTAGTGGAAGCAAATTCATCTCAGTTTACATGTGAATTAGCAGCAAGATTTGACGTTACTAATCCAACAATATTGGAATATTTGAAACAAATTGGCAAGGTAAAGAAGCTGGCTAGATGAGTTCCACATGAATTAAATGAACATCAGAAGGGACATCGTCTCGAAGCTTGCCTTTCTTTGCTGTCATGACATAAAGGCAAAACATTTCTACAGCACATTGTTACATGTGATGAAAACTAGATGCTTTTTGACAATCGCAAGTGTTCAGCACAATGGTTGGATAAAGGTGAAGTGGCAAAACACCGTCTAAAATGGAATATTCATCAAAAAAAGCTCACGGTGTCTGTTTGGTGGTCCAGTGCTGGTATCATCCACTACAGCTTCAGGGAGGCTGGTCAATCGATTACAGCGGATGTCAACTGCAGTCAGTTGGATGAACTGATGAGGATGCTTGCAATTAATCCTCTGAGATTGGTCAATAGAGACAGGCCAGTCCTTTTGCAAGATAATGCTTGACCACATGGCACACAAACAGCGATGCCCAAACTACAGAAGCTGGGCTTGGAAACTCTCTGTCATCCACCATATTCACCAGACCTTGTACCAACTGACTACCGCTTCTTCCAGGCTTTGTACCATTTCTTGTAAGAAAAAAATGTTCAATTTTCCACAAGCTGTGGAAAATGACTTTCACCGTTTTATTGCCGCTCGCTCTTCAGGCTGCTTTGTGGTTGAGATATAATAAACTAAACTTTTGCTTGGAAATTAGACATTTCATATTTAATAACCCAACAGAATTATTTTTCTATCAGAGTTTTTTTTGTGTTTTTTTTTTTTTTTTAGATAGGTCTCACTCTGTTCAGACTAGAGTACAGTGGGGTCATCATAGCTCACTGCAACCTCAAACTCCCAGGCTCAAGCTATCCTTCCGTCTCAGCCTCCCTAGAAGCTGGGTCTACAGGCCTTTGCTGGCATGCTTGGTTGATTTTCTTTTTTGTAGAAACAAGCTCTTGCTCTTGTTCAGGCTGGTCTTGAACTTCTGGCCTCAAACGATTCTCCTGCCTCAGCCTCCCAAAGTGCTAGGGTTATAGGTATGAGTCATGGCACCTGGCCTATAGGTGATTTTTAATAAAAGTGGGCCCTTTCACATTTGAAAAAATCATGCAATGTAGCTAAACTTAAAAGAAAGCATGTAGTGAACAGAAAGATGAACTAGTTTACAGCATACTTTATACAATCATAATTCCTTGCTCCAATGGAAGGAAAAGCAATATGTGGCATTAGAAATGGTGAAGATTTCTGACCAAATTTGAGGGGAAAAAAAGAGACTTTTTTTAATTGGAGGAATTAGAGGTATCCTCTAATGTATGTTCCGAGTGGGAACTCTAGGCAACTCTATTTTAACCTTCCTTTTTCAGGGGGTGATGTCTGCCCAGCCCCAGGGAGTCAGGACCCGTGCCTCCACTCACTGGCATATAGCTGGGTGACTTAGGGACAGTTATGAACCTCTCTGAGCCTTGGTTTTCTCCTTTGTCAAACTGGGCCATTAATTGACCACCTTCATGGTGGCTGGTGGAATTAAAGGAGGCACAGCCTGTAGTCCCAGGGCTTGTCATACAGTACGCACTCGATAAAGTTAGTCAGGTTTCCATGGTCTCTTTCTTCTTTGCCCACTTCCATGAGTGCTGAGGCCTAGGCAAAGCCTCTGAACATTGTCCAACCTTTAGGAACAGTTAAAACCACTTAAACCTCTCGTAAATCAGTCTTTTGGGAAATGGGTGTGTGTGTCTACGTATATATACGTGTGTGTGTGTGTGTGTGTAATAGTTTCTCTTACTTTGTAGATTTGGACTTTCTGATCTAACAGTGACCATGATTCAGCTAGTCGATCACCAAATACTTGGTCATGACAGAGCTGACTCATGCAGAGGCCATTCATACCCTTTCAGAGTGAAAGCTGCTTTCATGCTAAAAAAGCCAGCGGAAGAGAATACCCGGGGATTCCCATAAATAAGCAAGGAGGCGACTTATCCATTCGGAATCCCTGGGATCTGTGAGCACTTCCAGCAAACCTGGGGATTAGCTGGGAGACTGAATGACTGAGTGCAGAAGGGTCACCCGCCTGACTTTCAGGTCGGCCACGGTGAGACGATGAGCTTTGGGAGGCTCACGCACACAGGCGGCCCGCATCCTCGGGTGCCGGGTAGGCTCCCAGGCGGACCTTTTAGGATGTGTGTCAGCTCTCTCCTGTGGAATTATAACGCAAATCAGTGGGAAGTATGCCCCAACTTACAGATACTGTATTTGCTTTACATACATTCCAGGAATGTATTTAATTTGCAAGTAAGTCAGCTGAATCTATTTGATATGTAAGTAGCGCGGAAGGCAGAATGACATGGCATAATTGAAGGGAAAGACTTCTAAAAGTCATGGGATCCATTACTCTGCATTAGAAAAGTGTCCAAATTATTCCAGGCCTATTCTGAAAAATTCCCAGAGAAAGAGAATCTATAAAATCCATAACATAGATTCCTTCAAGCTGTTTGTGTTTGAGCTTCGTAATCTCTGTTGTCAGGACGTTTCCTCATATCTCAGTTACACATCTCCTGCTGTGCTTTAAACTTCCTTCCTCCTATTTTGTCTTCTACTAAAATGGATACTCAACTGACCACATTACCTAGAACAGCTCATTCCAGAGTTCCTCAAATGTGCTATGCAGAGCACTAGTTCTACGTGGCACTGCTGTGGACAAAGAATCCTTGGGCACTGTTTCAGAAACACTGCCTCTTAGAGATACACAATGCATAGGAAAAACAATTAAAGGCTCTGAGAAGTCCTGCAGCAAATAACCCTATTTTGCTTTTTTAATCTAGTGTTTTTTAAATTATTTCTACCACAGAGTCTTGACCCCTGCCCCTTTTGAATAACTTCTGTTCACATCCCACAAAGACATCCAAGGAGTATGCCATAAAAAACTCAGAGATCTGAACTTCTTTGCAATGGATTTGAGTTCATGGAGCTTCGGCCATTAAAGGTTTTCTCAGATGGACCATTTTGTGGCTTCTTATGAATCCTCTTAAAGTTCTCCACACCCCTCTTGAGTTGTGTGGAAACAGAAAGAGTGTGTTGATGTGGCTCTAAATGATAAGAAAGAAGACATATGTCCCCTGTTGCCCTTGACAGCCCACTTAAGTAGGAGTTGGAGCAACCAACAGTAAGAGTGGGCTGTGTTCCTTAGGTTTGGTTTCTGTTCCACCTTGCCAATGAATGCCCACAGTTCGGATGCACTTCGCCAGGCAGATGAGGATGCCCGAGTTACTTGCCTTATGTGTAGCAGCCCGATTTCTGTGCATGTTGTTAACCAAATCAAACATCGTAACATGGCGTTTTTCTACCACCAGCACTTTTCTAACTAAACCAAACCTTTTAATGAAAGTATCCAAGTATAACCATCACTAATTATCCTATTTATGAAATTTTATTCACGGTCTGAGCAAGACACAAAGAAATATCAACAGTGAACTGTAGGTAACCAGGTTTTTCAATATTCTTTCCCGTCTTCCCAAACACTGTTTCGAGTGTGCCATTGCTCTTTCTCTCTCCCAAAGTACTTCAGGTGCTGACACATCCCTGCTGGACCTGGCTCCTCTGGTGCTTGGGTTTAAATGGTCTGGGGAGCTCTTTTCTCCAGGTTTTCTTTGCACTGCCAAGGGCCCTTGCCTCTGCCTCTTCCCTGCTTACCCTGGAAAGGCCAGAACGTGCCGTCTGCTTCTCCACGAGCTGGTCAAGGACTACCTTTTTCTTCCATGGTTTCTCTCCGGAGGTGAAAAGAGAAAGGGTGTAGTTGCTCTCGCCTATTGTTGTCTTCGTACCTGTTCCTTTTCTGGACATCTTGAGCCGTGAGAAAGAGTTTATGATAACTGACTGTTTCTCTCATCTTTAAACCCACTAAAAGTCAGAACAAGTGGACTGCAGGGCAGGTGGGAAATGCATCGAATTCTGCGTCTGTCACTAACCTGCTGTGTGACCCTGAGCATGTCACCTGCCTGTCACTTAGCAATTATTGGCTGTTAGTATTATTCTCTGACCCACTGTCTTCATCTGTAAAGTCAGATAGTTGGATTAGACAATTGAGCTTATGCTTGAAAATTCTATGGATGCCCAAGCCTGTTCGTCAGATATGCAGCTGACTGCATGGATAACTTGGAAGACACTATTGCTTGGCTTTTGCCACCAGAGTGATCTTTAAAAAGGAGAGTTGGAGTTACTAACATTTTTTTTTTGAGACAGAGTCTCACTCTGTTGCCTGGCTAGAGTGAGTGCCGTGGATTTAGCCTAGCTCACAGCAACCTCAAATTCCTGGGCTTAAGTGATCCTCCTGCCTCAGCCTCCCGAGTAGCTAGGACTACAGGTGTGCACCACCATGTCAGACTAATTTTTTTCTACTTTTAGTAGAGATGGATCTCTCATTCTTGCTCAGGTTAGTCTCAAACTCCTGAGTTCAAAAGATCTTCCTGTCTCTGCCTCCCAGAGTGCTAGGATTACAGGTATGAGCCACCATGCCTGGCCACTTGTTTAAAATTTTAACTTTATATAGAATCATTGAATTTCATACCTTTTATTTTACAAAGATAAAAAATCTTTAACAATATGCTGAGATGTTTGAAAGAGATGTAATAATTTTTATCTAGTATCAAGTATGATAAATCTCTTCCCTCTGCTTTTCCCCTCCCTCCCTCCCTCCCTCCCTCCCTCCCTCCCTCCCTCCCTCCCTCCCTTCCTTCCTTCCTTCCTTCCTTCCTTCCTTCCTTCCTTCCTTCCTTCCTTCCTTCCTTCCTATTTTTCTTAGATGAGGTCTATCTTAGTTATTAAGTGGTTCCAGAACCTTATTTGTTTCGATGTTGCAAAATAAACATTCCTTGGTTTTGGCTGTGTCAAGCACCTTGGCATTATGGTTGGAAAAATGTTGGGCATGGAAAGACATTTCTATATTAAGGAGAAAGAGGGCAATGCAGACCAGCAGGGATGCTAAACAGTGTTCTCTGGGTCTCAGACTCCAGGCTCGTGGAGGGAGCCTGTAGAAAGGACAAAGGAAAGAAAGGTGGATACGATTCTCTGGTATCCTTAGACAAAATAGAAGCTGGCTTTTTCCATTTCAGGGAGAGGGCAGGGAGCAGCCCCAAGGTCAGGTGTTGGATCATAGTGCCTGGGTCACCCCACCGTGCCATGCAGTGGCTCCTGGCTAGAAAGGTCTGCAAAGCACCTAGCTCTGCCCTCAAAGCTCTGCCCTGGGAAGCTTCTGAGCCAGGGCCCAGCCCTGCACAGCTCCACTAGGTCCTGCTGCTTTTTGGTGTTTGTTCATCACCCTGGTCCCACTCAGCTCCCCTTCCTACCCTAGTCCAGCCTCGCGAAGTAGCAGAGCCCTGGGCAGCGATAGAAAGCCTGTGTGGGCTCCTGATGCACTGTTTGACCTTGAGCAAGTTGCTTGAAACGAGCATTTTAATTTCTGACTCTGAAAGTAATATCTTCTCATTAAGAAAAATTACATAATTCAGAAAAGGATAAGGAAGAATATAAAAATTCTCATAACCTTACAACCAGAGATACTCAGTATTGGTGTTTTATTGTATTTTTTTTCCAAACTAGCTCTGTCTCTGTCTGGATCTATATCTCTATGGAGATCAGGTTTTCATTTTAAAAACTTTACATCTCTAGTTTTCTCATGCAATTATTACCTAGATGCACAATTATTTTGGTAACCTACTCCCTATTGTTGGATGTTTAGTACTTCTAGCTTTTCGTTCTCATAAATATTGCTACATTGAACATTTTTAATATGGATATTTGTTCACATTTATGACTCTTTCCTTGGCTGTACACCTACGAGAGTCAAGACGTGTGAACAAAGTGAGCAAACAGTCTTCTAGGGCTCACCTTCCTCACCTATAACAAAACAACAACAGAAACACCACAGCTAGCAACAGCCATCGCTCGCTCAGCATGCCGTGTGCCGGGCGCGTTTCCCAGGGCCCACGCCTAGGGCCCCTGGGGGAGAGGGTTCAACCCAGGCAGTGTAGCAGTGTCCCCGAGACGAAAGAGCTAAGCTGACAATCCCTGGGGCACTGTTACTTGGGACTGTGTTAGTGTGGCATGTAATGTTAGGACCAAAGCCCCGTGCGGCTCCTTTAATCCCCTTCATACTCCCGCGTGTGTGTCTGATGAGGTTGGGGGCTGCGTGTGTGTGTGTGTGTGTGCGTGTGTGTGAGTGCATGTGTGTGAGTGCGTGTGTATGTGTGTGTACAGTTTTCTAAATGGAACAGCGTCAGCAGAGCGCGAAGCAAGAAAGCCTGGGCAATCTGTTGACAGAACAATAAAGCGCTTGCAATCGGTGCTGCTCCTTACAGGTATCTCCTCCTGGTCTCCTGTGTATCTTAAGGTTCCGGCCTCTTTGCCTGGGAAAAGTGTCATCTTGTAATCGGACTGTCACCCCGTGGAGCAGGAATGGGACGGGTCTGGCCATGTAGTGCAGCCGCACCCGAGGCACTTGCCTGCGCGCAGTGTGTGAGGGGCCTGCGCTGCCCGGCGGCGTGCGTGTGGCCGCCTGTGCCGCGGGGGCTGCGGCGTGCTGCTCACCCAGCAGGAAGGAGGCAGCCCACAGCCTCCTCGCTGGAATAGCACTTCCACGCTGCTTTCCCTGCTTGCTAAATATAGATCGCCAGGCCGCCTTGGAATTCTGATTCAGGAGATCTGGGAGAAGCCTGACAATCTCCCTTATTAGAAATAAGTGCTCCAGGTGATTATGTTCAGGAAGTTTGAGGAAGTCTTGGGTAGCGGGTCTCAGCCTTCATGGGGCATCAGAATCATTGGAGATGCTTCTTTAAAAAAAGCACCAGTTCCTGCCCCTCTGCTGTCTGCCTGTCCTAATTTGAATAATTGATCTAGCGTGGTTTCCAGGGGCAGCATCTTTAAAATACTTCTCTAGAGACTTTTGTGTGAAGCCAGGAATTCTGATGATAACTATACCTTTATATTTAATTGCAGTTCACAGTTTACAATTTCGTGTCACCATTGAACACCAGAACAATTTACTAAGATCAGTAGAGAAGGCAGGACTCTCTAGAGTCTTTGGTCCAGAGAGGTTGGCTGAGTTGCCCAAGGCTGCACAGCTTCTCCCTCAGTCAGCAGCAGCTGTTCTCTACCAGGCCCAGGGCCACCCTGCCAAACCTTTTGGGAGAGGGCATCCTCGTCTCCGGGGATGAAATCGTGCCAGCCGCCATCGGTTGCCTCTCCTGTCACTGCTGCTCCTTCTCCCTGCCCTCATCCGTGTCCCTGCCGCTGCAGCTGCTCTCCCCTCAGGGAGCCTCCCCGTGAAAGGTGCAGTTGCATTGTCCTCCCACGCTCTGTCCCACTTAGCAGTCAGGTAATGGCACTGAGGGACAGAAAGCCCGGGGGGCCCCGGCCGTCCACACCCCCACAGCAGCGTGAGGACACATTCATGCCGGCCTCAGCCCCCAGCCCCCAGCCCCAGCGCCCCGCCCCCGCCATCCCTCTGCAGAAAGCACGGTGCATGGAGGCAGCCAGGACAGTCCCGTCCCAGCCGCGGTGGCCCACAGCTGCATCCTCCACCCCCACTGCAAATCCTCATGGCCATCACCAAAGCTGCCCTTGCCCCCGCCCACCCACCCCCCAAACAGCCTGAATGCCCACCTGATTCTTTCCGGGAGGCCGCTCTGTGGGGCTGGAGGCCCCTGGGTGGTGAGTCCCACTTGGGACGCCTGGCTAATGGGAGCTCCAGGAGGCAGGCCAAGGAAGGAGAAACGTAACCCGGTGACTGCCTCTGCCCCTTCCACTGTCCTCCGCCAGAAACCACCAAACTATGGCTCAAAAATCTCTCCTGATACAAACCAGGGACTTTTGTTTGTCTTTGCTCTTCCTCTCCCTAATGCAGCCTTTCCCCTTGCACAGGCTGGATCCTGGAGACGCTCCCAGGGACTGCAGGCTTCTGTGTCAGGATCTGCAGCCTCTGTCCCTGGGATGCCTGGGTGGAAGTGGGGCAGGAGAGGAGGCGGGGTTTGCCTGCTGGCAATGCAGGCAGCGAGCTGCACCCAGGGAAGAGGACCAAATGCTGACTCTCCCCATTCTCTTTCCGTACCTATCCAGCAGCCTCCTAACTGAGAAGAGCCAGCGCCGAGCAGACTGCTGCCGCGATGCCCACCATGGTGGTTAGCTGGTTTGGTGGGTTGGTGAGGAGGGTCGCTCAGTGTCCTCTGTGACTTTTCATCTCCTAGCATGACTTTCACGAAAGGCAAGCTCCCTGCCAGCAAGGCTGGTCCCCGCTGTGCCTCCGTACACAACAAACCTGTGTGGGTGTCCTGCCAGGCGAGGGCGTTTGGGAGGAGGGCGGAGGACGGACTGGCCAGTCTCCTTTCCCAAAGCAGAGGAAGCGGCGGAGCGGTGCGAGAGGTCCCTGCCATTGCACGCGGCCCAGCACGGCTGGCTCCGGAGCTCTTTACACTGCTGGTTGGGCGTCATCTGACAGCTACCAGAGCGTCCAGGAGTCCTTCACGGTAACCCCCTAACTGCCCCGCCACCCCCAAGGCTGACCCTGTTGGTACCATCTGATCCCGTCCCCCTGATGGTGGATTGGATCAGGGTTGAGCCTGAGCAAACCTGAGCCTCTTTACTAGACACTCTTAGTGGGACAGAAGGTTCGGGCTCAGGGTGGGCTAGTCCCTCTACAGAAGAATGGAAAACCTCCCAGTCATGGGAGCTGGAAGGCATCTCATCCATCCTCCGCTTCCCTTTCTCATTTTATAAGCGCAAAAAAGAATCGGGGTCCTGAAAGATGGCTTGACTGGCCCAAGGCCACATGGCTACTGTGGCTGCTTCATGACGGAGCCGGGTCTTGGAGTCCACAGTGTTAATTCACTCGCTGAGTCCCCTTGGCAGAGTCACGCTGCCTCGACAGATAATCTCCTGGGAAGCTTGCACTCAGCTGGGACTTTGGAGACACCAGGGCAGTCAGCCTGCCCGGGCGCAGTGGAGAGGGCACGGGCTTCCGAGTCAGGCCAATGTGGGCTCAGACCGGCTCTCCGGCTCACTAGTATCAAGGCCATGGGCAGATTCCTCACACATTTGAGCCTCGTCTTCCTCAAATATAAAATGGGGATCATTATACTCCTCTCACAGAAACATGGTGAGAGTATTGCAATGAGAGTATGATACCCTTAGCACATAATCATTGCTCAATAAAAGAAAAACAGGTTTTCTGGTCAAAATAAGTAACCGTTTCCTCCTTCCTAGTGCTCTAATTCTGAAGCTGGTGTGGTTTTGGAATTATTTCCCAGACCCTGAGGGGGTGCCCTGCACAGAGCCCAGGCGCCATTCCATTAGCCTCAGCCTGGGATCATTCTGTGCAGGCTCAGGGCAATTTGGAGATAGAGATGTGGCAGGCCCCGGCAATTTGGAAGAAACAGGTACCTTCTGTTACTTTTCCCCTGGCCTCGTGATATCCATTTAGCCTGCCATCCAACGTTCATTAAAGGCCTGCTCTGCAACCCCACACTCGCGGCAGTGAGCTCCCTGGGTGAGATAAAGTAAGAGGTACCGGGATGCACAGGTAGGCAGATTCTTCAGTCCTGGTCACTTCTGAGGCCATGGGGCATTGGCCAGCTGACCCCTGAGACAATACATTTTTTGATACTCTTTTGAGAGTGGCTGGAGAGGACATTTGCTTGTACCTCTGGCAGCTCTGCCTTCTGAACTCATAGAATGAACTTTTGCTGGACCGGCATTGAGAAACTGTTCTTTCCTTATTGTATCCTTCACGCCCTAAATCACACATCTGAGTTCAAGTCCTAGCCATTCACCTGTTTTCAGAATAAATCCCTATGGAATTTCCATCTTTCTAGGCCAAGCTAGGATCCTGTCTCTTTTCACCTTCCTGCAGTCCCCATCTGTCTAAATTCTAGCTCTCCTTCAAAGACCACCTTGCTCATATCCACCTTTCTTCATGAAGGCTTTGTATGTACTGGACTACTCCTTTTGCACTTAACAGAGGTTACCTTGTATTGCTGTGTGCCATTTTCAGATAATAGTCCTTCCTAATAGTCCTTTTTACAGATACACATAGCACCAATCCCTCACCTCAAAGGGTCAACAACCTGGTTGAAAATGTGTGTCTTGAGGCTAATTGGACTGTCATTTCCTTGAAGGTAGGGGCCCTGTGTCATCTTTTTCTATTCACTGCCAGCACTATATCAGTAGTATTTAAAAAAAAAAGAAAACATTTTTTTTTTAATATCATAGCACATGGAGTCTTGAGGAAGGACAGCTCCGGGATTGGTAATGCATTAGTTAGCTGTTGTTATGTAACTAACCAATTCAAAACTGAGGGGTCTGAAACAGCAGCCATTACTTTTTAGCTCCCAATTCAGCTGGGCAACAGTTTTGGCTGGGCTCAGCTAGGTGGTTCTTCTGGTCTCCCTGTGCTTCCTCGTGCATCTGTGGTCAACTCTAGGTTGCTCAGGTGGCACTGCCTCTGGGGGTCATCTGGCTGTCGGCTGGGGAGCCTCAGCATCCTGCTCGTGTCTCTCCCATGCCTCTAGCAGGGCAGCATGAGCTTTTCCTCTTGAGACCATGTTTGGAATTGGTGCAGTCATTTCTGCTACATACTATTGGCTAAAACTAGGCCAGCCCAGACTCAGTGATGGGGAGTAGACTTCACCTCTCAATGGGGGGAGCTTCAAAGTCACATTGCCAAAGTGGAGAATTGGAACTATTTTTGCAATCAGTCTGCCACAGCCAATGATGGCAGAGCTTGGAGTCTGTTCTCAGGATTTGCTTGGCTTTCCCCTCATGCTTATAGATGGCAACTGCAGTTCCAAGTACCATGTCCTCACACAACAATGTCCAAAGACAGAAAGGGGGCTGGGTCTTTCTAAGAATGAGGAAAACTTCCCCAGCTGTTTCCCATCAGCTTTCTGTTAGGCTGTGGTTAGGACACAGGGCTGTCCTAACAAGTATCGGCAGGTAGTAGAATTATCGCCATTGACTTAGTGTCAGCTACAGTCACCCCTGTGGCTGGGAGGGACTCCAAAGTGTTAGCTTTCAGAAACCTGAATGAAATTGGGGTTCTCAGAGCAAAGAGGCAGGAGCAGGGGATAGCAGTTGGGTTGGGAACCTATAGGGTGTGGAAAAAGCACTTTGCATGGTGTCTTGTACCCATTTATTATTTTAATAGCATTTATAGTAAGCCTATATGTGCCAGGTCTTAGAGAACCAAAGGTGAGCAGAACTTTAATCTTCTAAGAAGGAGATCGCATCCAGATGGCAGATACTAGTAAAGAACTGACTGTAGTACAACACAGTAAGTAGTAGAGGTTGGGTGGGGGCCAGAATTTTGGGGCTCGAGTGAGGGCCCTGCTGTTCGCGTGAGGCATGCTGTTCATGCCTTATTACCACTGGGCTCTGACTGAGGGAGTGATAAGTAAAGGCCAATGCAGGAATCAAGGCACCGCTTTATTAGTGTCCAAAGCAGAACTCAGCTGCCTGCAGTTCAGAGCTCTCTTGGAAAAGGCTGAATTGAAACCCACCGCTGGGAAGGCAGGCCAAAGTGGGGTCTCTTACTCTTGTATACTCTGAAACCAAAACCTGTGACTGTCTCTTTCAGAGGTGACTCTCAGGAGGCAGAGAGAGGATAAAACCCCAAAGTTGATCTAGGTCCACCTACCCAGCTAGTTTCATCGAGTTAGAACCATATGCACAGACAGGAAGGCGCCTCATCTGACCTGAGGGGCCAGGAACTGAAAACCCAGCTGTTTAAAAGGACTGATTTAAGGTACAGTCACTCTGTTAACGAGTAAAACATAGCCCAATAGATGTCTTGAGCTTGACTACCAGGATTAGGAATTTAGCCTTCCTTGGAGGCCATCCGAGGGGAACTAGTAAATGCCTTCAGGGCAGGTGGCCTCTGCAGTCTGTGATCCAGTGGAGGCAAGTAGCAGGTGGGTAAGGGAGGAAGAGCAATGGATTCTCCAGGGGACTGGAGGACACAGGGAAGGTTTCCTGAGAAGTCAACTGACTTCAGCTGGGCCTTGGGAAATGACTTGGAATTTTCATTGTTGAAAAGAAAATTCTTAAAGGAAAAGGCTGGAGCAGAGGTATGGGGCCTGAGAATGGAATGGTGTGTTTAAGAAACTGGGAGCTTGTGATGCATGCAGTGGGAGAAAGGGTGTGGGGAGGCTAGAAAAACAGGCTGGAGTCTGATCATGAAGAGCCATGAAGCTGCTAAAAGGTGAATTTGTTCTGCAGGCCATGGAAGCAAACAGAAGTTTTAAATTAAGAATGACAGGCTCAGATCCTGTTTCGGAATGCTGCCTCTGGCTGAATGGAGATGAGTGGGGAAAGTGGGTGGGGACCTGGTGGGAGTAGTGTCCAGCATAGCCAATTGCAGGGAGAGGTCGTAGGGGCAGTCCACTCAGGAGAAATGTTCTATCACTGACGTTGTTTATAATCGCTGACTGTGATACTGTGAAATATTAATACGTACTTTGTCTTTGTCCCATTTCCTGGGAAACAACTCCTAAAATCCTTGGCATCTCCGAAGCGGTTTTCTTGTATGCTAATGAGGTGACTGGTGGGTGGCAGCCCCTAGGTAGCTTCAGGATGGGAACTGCCCACTGGAAAAATCAGGGCATGATGACAGACCTCTGGGGAGGGGAGAGGGGCTGAAGGTTTAGCTGATCACCAGTGGCCCATGGCTTAAGCAATCATGCCGACATAATGAAGCCTCTGTAAAACCTCCAAAGGAGTGGATTGGAGAGCTTCCAGATAGCTGAGCACGTGGAGGTTTCCAGAGGTTGGTGCACTGGGGAGGGCACGGAAACTCCACACCCCACCCCATACACCTCCCCCTATGCACCTCTCTTCATGTGTATTTTTGTAATATCCTTTATAATAAACCAGTAGGCATGTTTCCCTGAGTCCTGTGAGCCGCTCTGGCAAATTAATTGAACCTAGAGGTTTATGGGATCCTCAATTTATGAAACTGATTGGTTGGAAGCACAAGTAAAAAATCCTAGTCCCTGTGATTGGCATTGGAAGTGGACAGTCTGGTGGGACTGGGCCCACACCTTGTGTGATCAATTTTAGGTAGATAGTGTTCACCCGAAATTGAATTGGAGGACCCCCAGTGTCCGCTGCAGAAATGACCGCGTGCTTGGTGCGTGGGGACAAATCCCCACACGTTTGTTCGCAGAAGTCTTTGTGTGTTGATTGTTGTGATGTGAGAGTAGAGGAAAAACAATTTGTGTTATGTCCACTCACTGACACGTGTGGAAATAAAAAGCAGCCTGACCGTTATTATGTTTTTAAATCCCCTCTGGACAAGGCACCCCTTTACTGCCTGTGGGGGGCAGATGGCTCTCAACACACTCCCCCGTGCACCACTATGGGAGGCTGCGCTAGGACTCCAGGTGGAGGGGGCTGCGGTCGCTTACTGAGCATCTGCTAGGAGCTCATGGATGGGTGGCCTGAGGGTGGGCTCCGCAGTTCGCAGGGG